CTGACCCCCCCCATAGCACTCTGAACCCCAGGGACTTTAACGACTAAACTCTGTACTACATCCCCCTTTACCGAACTGGGCCCCCAAGTCTCATACTGACCTGTCTGCCCTGCCTTCCCCTCAGACCCCACGGAGCACGTGCAGTTCTGGGTGAGCCCGTCCACCACGGAGGGCTGGGTCCGCGAGGGCGACTCCGTCCAGCTGATCTGCCAGGGGGACGGCAACCCCACACCCGAGTACATGTTCTATCGCCTGCAGGTGACTGACCCCGTTGCTCCTTTGAACCCTGACCTCTGTGACATACTGACCTGCACCGATTTCTAACCTTTCACCGGGTGGCCCTGGCGTAGCCAGGAGCCTGGCCAGTGACCCAAGAGCTAACCCGGCCTCTGCCCCCTGACTTGAGGGGCTCTGACCTAACATGACCCTCACCTGGAGACCCGACCTGTCGGGATGCCTGGCTCTGGCCTGGGGGGCCCCGACGTCGCAGGACCCCGCGGCACCGGGTGCCTTCTGAGCCGGTTCCTCATCCCTCGTCACCCAGGGCACGGAGGAGAAAGTGCTGAACACGAATCTTCACGGGAACTTTACCCTGGAGAGCGTGCAGCGGAACCAGAACGGGACCTACGGCTGCCGGGTGTTAGACTATGACGCTGCTGATGAGGCCGAGCTCTCCAAGACGCTGGAGCTGCGCGTGGCCTGTGAGAGCCCTGGGAGAACCTGGGGGGGCGGGGGGGCCCTGGCACTAGCAGCCTCCTCCCCTTCACCCCCCAGTCCTGCCTCCAAATGCGCAGTCCCTGCTTTGAGCCCAAACGCCTCCCTCCTCCTGGGGACCCTGCCCCAGTCCCCTCCAAACTCCCACACCGGCAGCCAGAGAGCCCTTTCCAAAGCACACACCTGGCCTGCCCCTGCCCCAGAACCTGCCATGGCTCCCCAGTGCCCTCTGGGAAAGCCCAGGTGTCTCACCGGGTCTTCAAGGCCCACCTGTTTGGTTTCACCTGAGGCTGAACCTTCTCCCCACCAAGGCATTTTCCTCCTCATACCCAAGCGTCTCTCGGGCCCATGATCACTCCTCATGCTTCTACCACCCATTTCCCACCAATCTCTTGGGTCCGTCTTCTAAGAAGCCTCCTCAGGCCCCTTGCCCCCCAGCCCTGTGCAAAGGCGCTGTTCCTCCTGGGCACTCCTTATGTCTCCCTTTCTGGAGCTAGACCCTGGGCCAGATGTTGGTCACACATCTGTGAACAAGTCCGCCCAGTCCCCACCTTCACAGAGCTCCTGGCCCAATAGGGGAGACGGAGGGCAAATGCTAAATAAGACGTTTGGGGTAGCAATCCTACATCTGCAGGGACTCATGCAGAATGATGGGGTAAGGAATTGGCTGGGCGAGCAAGGCATAGTTTGGGGCGGGGGGGTGTTGGCAGGCTGCATCCCCAGGAAGCAGATTTTGCCGTGGAGATCTGAAGGCAGGAAGTTTATGAGAAGCGCCTTGGCACCCACGTCTACGAGGGGCGGGGAGGGGAAGGAAGCAGGACTGGGCAGAGGGAAAAGTTGGGCTGAAGTCTAAGAAGGCCTCGGTTGGCCCCACAGGGCACTTGGAAGCGGGGATGTTCCAAGTTGGGGCGAAGGGGCCTGGCTTTTGTACCTCCACATCAACTAGCCATTGACTATCGGGCTGCCTGAGGAAGGGGCATGACCTTGAGCAAGGGGCTCCGTGCAGCTGAGGCCGTTCCCGGAAAGGGCTGACAGCTGAGGGCTGACAGCTGATGTCCCTCTCAACAGCTGAAGGAGAGAGCTGAGTGTCCACACCAGGGGCTTCGAGCAGCCTCTCTGAGAAGGGGACGTTTGAGTAAGAAACCAGAGAGTGGAATCAGAAATGCCAAGAGGCCGAGGACGAGCACTCCAGGGAGAGGGAGCAGCAAGTGCAAAGGTCCTGAGGCCGGACCCAGCTTGGTGTGCTGGAGCAAAACAGGAAGAGAGCAGGGTAGCTGGCGCTCCGGGCAGCGGGAGGGGGCAAGAAAGGAGGGTGGGAGATGAGGTCAAAGAAGAGGGCAGGGGCCACACCAGGCGAACCTTCTGGCTTTGTCAAGGAACTTGGCCTCTAGGTCAAGGGTCCGGGGGAACCACGGCGGGATTTTAAGCAGAGGGAAGGGCTGGCCAGTGTGTTTTGAAAAGATCCTTCTAGCTGCTCAGGGGACCAGAGTCCAGCCCAGCAGGGAGGCCAGTGAGGAGGTGACTGCAGTGGTCAAGGCAGTTGGACCTGGAGTTCAGAGATGCACAGAAGCAGGAAGATCCGTTTCGGGGGGCAGAGCAGAGAAAGACTTGATGAATGAATGGGCAGTGGGGAGGAGAAGGCAAGGGTTTGGGCTTGAGCACAGGGTTTGGGTGGAAAGTCAGAGAAGAAACACCTTGCAAGGTTGTCCGTTCGCCTTGGACCCAGACATCCGCTCTGGGGAAAGTGACCCCGGTTAGACTCCTAGATTTGGGCCCGGGGTTTGGCCTGATGGCAGAGTGGAGAGTTCACGGAGATGGGGGATCAATGAGGAGCGCTTGGCACTCTCTGCTGGACTATTGTGCATTCACGTCTGTACCCACAAAAGCCCTTGAGCGCCCCTAACCAACTTGGTGAGGGTCCCGGAAGGTGACCGTCTATACCCCCTCCAGACCTGGACCCCATTGAGCTCAGCCAGGAAGAGGAGCTTTCCTTACCCCTGGACAGCAACGTAGACATAACCTGCTCCGTGCAAGGCCTGCCCACCCCTGCTCTACGCTGGACCAAGGTGAGAGGGAAAGGAGACCCCCACTGTGGGACCCCCTCCCTCCCCACACCGCCTCCCCTCCTCTCATGGTCCACTGGCCTCTTCTCCCTCCCCCACCCTACAGGACGCAGTCCGCCTGGTGGATGGCCCCACGCTCTCGCTCAGCGCCATCACCTTCAATTCTGCTGGCACCTACATATGCGAGGCCTATACGCCCACGGTCTCCCTCCTTAGTCGCACCCGGGTCCTCAAGCTGCTGGTTGAAGGTTTGGGGGTAGGGGCAGGCTGGGATGGGGACGATGGGGGTGGGCGGCCAGGACCGCTGGGAAGGGACCATGGCTGGTCCTCTGTCTTCTACTCTATTCCTCTCCCCTTCTCTTACTCGCTCTCCTCTTTCTCCACCGTGCCTCCTGCTCACGCCCTTCCTCCCCATCACCCACAGGGTCACCCGAACTAAAGGAGGAGATTTTCCCCCAGGCAGAGGGCAGCAGGAGAGAAGGAGAAGAAGTCAGGCTGACCTGCTCTGCCCGCGGCTACCCAGAGCCCAAACTCACGTGGAGCGAAAAGGGCGGCAGTGTAAGGGACCCTCGTCTCCACCCTCCGGGCCACAGGCACCCTCCCCAAGTTCCCAGGGGACACTGATGCAAGCGTTATGTCCCCTCTCCTACTTCCTGAGGGACTGGACATCACCTCTGCCCTCACCCCAGCCCTGACCCAAGTCTCCACAGCCCACAGAGCCGGTCCCCGGAGTGCCGGGCTGGGTGCGCAGCTCCCTGACCCTGAAGTTGACCAACGCCATGAGCCAACACGGCGTCTCCTGTGAGGCCTCCAACCCGCTCGGGAGCACCCAGCATGTCTTCCACTTCGGCCCTCGTGAGTAACCGCGGTGGTGGGACAGGACATGGGGCAGGTGCAGAGCTGCTGGCCGAACGCCCCTCTGTCTTGTCCCCGCAGTGACCCCCCAGACCTCGCAGGCCGGAGTAGCTGTCATGGCCGTGGCCGTCAGTGTAGGCCTCCTGCTCCTCGTCGTTGCCGCCTTCTATTGCATGAGACGCAAGGGGCGCCCCGGCTGCTGCCGAAAGGGGGAAAAGGGGGCTCCGTGAGTGACCTTGCAACCTCAGAATTGACCTCTGTAACCCAACCCCATCCCCAGGTCTAACTCTGACCTCAGCCCCAAGCCCCGCTCATACCCAACCTTAATAGCATCCTATCCTCAACTCCAAACCCAAATACAATGCCATCCCATCTCTAACCTCAAACCTCGTCCATAGCCATCCCCTCCCCCATCTTCATCCCCAACTACAACAGCCTCACCCAACCCACAATCATCCTCAAGGCCACCCTCAAGCCCCACTTAACACCGTCCCTAATCTCTCCAACCCCAAGCTCATCCCCACCTCCAATTCCAACCCGAATATAACCATCACCAAACCCAACGTAACCCCCTGTGAATCCCAGGCTCCTCTCCAACCCCGATCTCATCCTCATCCCCACATCCAACCCCACCTCCTGTCCCAATCCCCCCCATTCCCAAACCCATCCCATCTAACCTCCTCTCCAACCCCGACCATATCCCCATCTTCAACCTCAACATAACCATCCCATCTCCAACCTCCATCCCAACCACACCCCTAACTCCCTGAACTCTGAGCTCCGACTTCTTCCCCAATCCCAGCTCCAACCCATAACCAGCACCAAACCCAGCTTCAACCACATCCCCATCCCCAAGGCCCCTCCAACCCACCTCATTCCCATTCCTAACACCAAACCCATCCCTATTTCACCTCACCTCCAACCCCAATCACATGGCCACCCTCAACTCCAGTCCATAGCCATCCCCGAGCCTGCCCCAGGGCTGACCCCAACTACAACACCATCTCCAACTCCACCAGCATCTTTGACCCTCGCCCCAACTCATCCCTCACCCCAATGCATTATCATCCCCTCCCCATCCCCAACCCATTCCCACCCACCCTCGGAGTCCTTCTCCATCCAATACAACCCCATCCCCACTGCCTTCCCCAGCTGGGACGACCTCCAACATGTTGCCTCTTCTCCCCAGGCCGCCTGGGGAGCCAGAGCTGAGCCATTCAGGGTCCCAGCGGCCTGAGCAGACAGGCCTTCTCATGGGAGGTGCCTCTGGAGGAGCCAGGCGTGTCAGTGGGGGCTTTGGAGATGAGGTGGGTGAGGGCCTGGGCACCCTGGCGAGGAGGGACCGGCTGGGGGTGGGGCAGCCTCCCTGGGCACAGGCTGACCTTTCCACTTTCTCCCCAGTGCTAAGCCTGAGGGCCTCTGAGAGACAGTCATCGGACACAACCTGGAGTTGCAGGCATCAGAGAACCAGCCCTGCTCACGCTCTGCCCTCCCCCGCCTTCCCGGCCTGCCCTCTTCCCTCTCCGGCCCTCCCTTCCTTCCTCTGCAGGCTGGGCAGGGACCTACAGACACTGCTGGGAGGGAGGGAGGGTGCGCGCGCTCAGCTCTCTCGTGGGTGGGAGGGGACCTTCCTCCAGGGAGTATGACTCTCCCAGGCCCCAGAATAGCTTCTGGACCCAAGCCCAGGGCCCGGCCTGGGACGAGGCTCCGAGGGTCGGCTAGCTGAGGCTATTTTTACCTCCTGCCTCCATTGCTCGTCCCCCACCTGACGTCCTGCTGCATAGTCTGACACTGGATCCCCACCCCTGCTCCGCCCCCTCATCATGGACACTGGAGTCTGGAATAAATGCTGTCTGTCACCTCGACACCATCCTGTGGCCAGAGCCTGCTCTGGGGGATGAGAGGGGAAGGGGCACAGGTGATGCTCCCCTCCCCATGGCCCCTCCGCCCCCTCGCAAGACCTGGGAGAGATCTGACGTCATGGAGAAAGAAATGAGAGAGAGAGAGAGAGAGCAGAGGGTGACTCAGCTGGCCGAGGATGGAAGAAAGAGATGCCGGGGGTCTAGAGGGCACGAAGCGCGGCCCCTGAGGACCCGTGCCTGCTTGGCGGGTGGGGCGCTGTCCCCTTAATAAAAGTTCCCAGACTCTCTTGCCAGCACCCCGGAGGGAATTAAAGCTGGGAGAGGAAACCCTCTCTGAACTGTAGACTGGATGGAATTCCAGATGGAACTGCCTCCTCTGGGTATGGCATCATTCCTGCAGCTGCGGGAGGAGGGGTGGCTTGGAGGGACCCAGACCGAGGGGCCTGGGGCAGAGAGAAGACACGGCAGGAGCAGAGAGGTTGAGGCCGGCTAGAGAGACTTACTGAGGAAGAGGGATTTGAAAGAGGGGGGGGGGGGGGGGGGGGGAGCGCAAAGGAGGGACAGGCTGGGGCAGCTCAGAGATGAGAGCACTAGAGTCAGACAGATAGAAAGATTTTGGGAGAGGGAGGCAGAGTCAGTCAAGTAGAGACAAAGAGAAACACAGAATGGGATGCGGAGAGAGAATGACAGCCCAGGAGCAGTGGTGGAGGCGGGCCTGTTGACCCCAAGCCCATCAAACGGGGATAAATCACGCTCCCGCTCGGGCTCCGGCCCAGGGAGGGCTGCCGTGAGGAGGGAGCGTGGCCACCCCTGTACGGCACATGCACGGAGGTCTGCGCTCAGAAGCCTCTCATCTCAGCAAGGGACTCCCCCTCGCTGTCCTCAGTTTGCTCAGCCACAAAATGGACAAAGTGGGGTATCGTGGCCGTGGCCGTGGCCGTGGGACCGTCACGAGAGGCTGTGGAAACCTGGCGGGTGATGGAGCAGCCCCGAGCAGAGGAGCTCACCCGTCTGACTCAGGCACTCCAGTTCCATGGTTGGTTGAATCCCTTTAAAACAAACGCAAGAAGCAAAAAGAGATGGGCCAGGTTAACACACTTAGTTCGGGCACGAGCGATCAGAGGTCCCCGACACCTGCGTTCTGGGGTGCGCCTGGCTCCGTGCCCATGCGCGCCAGGTGTGATTTCAGCCCTCAGAGTGGCAGGTAAGCCAGAGGGCTCTGCGCCTGGGAGGTGCCAGGGTCCCGCATGACTTGGGCGCAGGACTCATGGAACAGCCGGAGTCGCCAACGGGGAGGCACCTCAAGGACGCGTGGAGCCTGGGGCTACTGGATCCTTACACCCTCCCCACCCATGTTTAGCTCACACTCTTAATACGTCTAACAGGCCTCATGAGTTGCTTCTTAACATCCGACCTTCGTTTCATCCGTCTCCTTATCCGTGTGGCTTTATTGTTTTCTCTATAACAGAATTGAATATTTAAAAAAAAAATACAGCAGACACACACACACAGGGTCGCAGTGTGACTGGGAGACGTTGATGAGATAACAGTGGGAAGTGTTTAGTGCAAAGCCTGGCACAGAGGATGTGCTCAGGACATGGTGACGAGTAGTATTCTTATCCAAGGGAAATGGAGGGACGGAGAGAAAAGCGAAATGCGGTCCCTTGTCCCAGGGAAGGAACCAGGTGGCGAGAGATCCCATTCTAAGAGCAGACAGGGGGGGGGGGGGGGGGGGGGGTGGGGGGGTAGTGAGCAGATGTCTGGAGGAAGGGGAGAAAGGAGACTCCAGGGAGGAAGGGGTTCTCCCACCAACACCTGGTCCCCCAGTTAATGAGGGGAATGTCCTGGCCCACCTCCCAGGAGGGCATACATTTGCATAGGATCCCTCATCTGCATAGCATCCCAGCAAATTTGCATGCAGATGGCAGCCTGAGCCCTCCTCAGTCTGACCCCTCCTCCCACTTTGGCTGAGGGTCTGGGGGGAGCGGGGAGGGGGAGAGGTAAACTACCGGATCTGGGGCTCCAGGAAGTGAAGGCAAGTTTAGAGTAGACTCCCCTCGCTCATCCGCCTTCTGTGGCTCCCTATTGCTCTCAGGAGCATGCGCCACCCTTCACCTGACATCCAGGACCCTCACACCAATCCATTACTCGCTCTCACAGGTGTCCCCACCTCCTGCCTTTGTGACTTTACTATTCCCCTCACCTGGAAGGTCCCCCACTGTGACAAAGCTTGCCCGTCCTGCAAAGCTTGCACATCTTGCAGGATTCTGAAAAGTTCTCATTCCCTTCTCCTGCCCTTGGGACTTTACAAGAATCTGTGCCTCTTCTGAACCTGTATAGACTTTATTAGTCAGGATATATTTGGTTGCAAACGACCCCAAACAATGTGTAAGTGAAAAGGAAAAGTTATTCCCTCATAACGGGAAGATCAATGGCTGACTACCTTCAGGCATAGCTGGACCCAGGGGCTCACAGTCTTCATCAGAAAGCTGCCCCTTTCCATTTCTCAGTTCTGCTGTCCTCCGTGCCCAGGCAGGTCTTTTGTCTCCAGTGCCTGGCATTACCAGATTTCTGCCCGACCAGCTTAGCAACCTCCCCACCACCCCGCTCCTATTCCTACTAGTTCTAGCAAAAGCCTCAGGGCTAATTCTCATTGATCAGGAATGGGTCCCCACACCCTCATCCCTGAACCAGTCCTTGTGGTCAGGGCATCAAATGATCTGATTGGCCAGACTGGATCAGGCTCACTCTGAACCATTAAGGATTCAGTAGGGATTTCCCATAAGAAAATGGGTGGGCCCTAGCTGGTTTGGCTCAATGGATAGCGCATCGGCCTGTGGACTGAAGGGTCCTGGGTTCAATTCCAGTCAAGGGCACATGCCTGGGTTGTGGGCTCAATCCCCAGTGGGGGGCCTGGGGAAGGCAGCCGATCATTGATTCTCTCTCATCATTGATGTTTCTATCTCTCTCTCCCTCTCCCTTCCTCTCTGAAATCAATAAGAAATGTATTTTTAAAATAAAGAAAACTGGGCCCTGACCGGTTTGGCTCAGTGGATAGAGCGTCGGCCTGTAGACTGAAGGGTCCCGGGTTCGATTCCGGTCAAGGGCATGTACCTTGGTTGCAGGCACATCCCCAGTGAGGGGTGTTCAGGAGGCGGCTGATCGATATTTCTCTCTCATCGATGTTTCTAACTCTCTATCCCTCTCTCTTCCTCTCTGTAAAAAATCAATAAAATATATTTTTTAAAGAAAGAAAACTGGGGTGGGGTGGGGTGGGGTGGGGTGGGGGAGAAGGGAGCTGAAGGACGGAAAGAGGCTGCTGGGCAGGTAAAAGACAACACGAGGTTATGGGCGCTGACTCCTGCGCAGCAGGAAATCTGCAATATCTACGACTTGGCACCAACTCCACAGCTCCTTCAGGATGCCTTTGGCCCTGGGCCCTACCTCCTCGTGGTTATGACTCTTCAGTGAAGTGCCATCTCTGGGACTTGTTGACACTGGAAGTTGGCTCCCCAGGCATGGGACCCACCTAGTCCTTTGTCAACAAAACCGCAGTACTCAGCCTTACAGGTGCTACTGGGGGTGGGGGGAGGTGAAACTCCAGCCTACACCCCTGGGGTTTGCCTCCTGGGCTCACCTGTGCCCATAAAGAACAGCATGGAGAGTGGGTACGCAGGGGCCTCCCAGGAAGAAATCTCTTGGAGACTAGTTATTTTGCTTGAGGGAGAAATGGGGGCCCGGAGTTTTACAAAGCAAGTTAGTAGCAAAGCTGCCGATAAAACTCAGAGATCCTGTGGTAGGCAGTTAGACAGACGTGAGCAGGAGCAGGGCAAGGCCAGATAGAGAAGGTCACCAGGGCGGAGAGCCCCAGAGGCCCGGCAGGGGAAACAGGACCTCGCCTGCCCCCAGGGTCACCTTGCCTCCCCTTCCATATCACTGGTCATTCAGTTTGGACCCCCTGACTTTCCTCCCTGTTGTAGTAAAATATAGAAATGTTTTAAAACGTTTTAAAATGTCTAAAAAATGTTTAAAAGATTTTAAAATGTTTGAGTTAACTTTCCTGAAACTTAAAGTGTGATATTGAGGACACATTCCCCACTGCCCTGAAGCTTGTGTACCCCATAGATGAGGATTTGAACTTCAATTACTGACTCAGAGTGACTTGCTAAGATAATTATATGTGTGAGTGATGTATTCTCCCTAGATAACCACAGGTAGGCCCTCGTCCTGTTTAAGGTTAACATGTGTGCATTGATGTAATTCATTGATAGCCACCTGAACTGCTGCGGGTACCAAACAGGCTTTAAAAATGGGTCCTGACCAGCCAACAGTGCTCGCCTGTCAAGACTGCCACAAAGGCACGTCCTTTTGCTAGTCCGGCAAGCGACACCGCTCCATGCTCCTCTCTCTGCCAGATGACAGAAAAACGGCTAGTACCTCTCGATCGAGATGCGACCGAGCTCTCGGCTGAGGAACACCGGCCCCCTGCATCCAGACCGGACCAGCCCAGCTGCTGGACCCCAGAGGACAGCACCACCGGGATCCCGTTAAGCCTGTACCCACAGCATCAGGAACTTCTGTGAGTAATAAAGTGCTGTATGATTTGCAATTGCATATGTTTCATGTGGTGTAATTCCTCCGACAGTTCATTGAATTATTTTGCGTACGCTTAAAACTGAAATTAAAGTTTCTGGTCTTTTTGGCCCTTGGTCCTGCTTGCGTAGAGCAGCCTCTTTGCTAGCAACTACTTGAATGTCCCAACACCTGCACGGTTAAAGTTTATCTCAAGGGGGACACCTTAGATACCCCCAACCCCCAGATCCTTTCCCGGGATCTACTTGGGACTCTCCCTAAAGACAACATCTAGGCCTCAGTTGTATTTCAGCTCCAGGCTCAGAAAAGAAGCAACACCAGACAAGCGAAGGCTGCCTCAGGACGGGCTGCATTGACGAATGACCCCCTACCCTGGCACCCACCCATCAGGAGAGACCAGGACCCGGAAGAGACC